CAGGAGATTTTTGTTTTCAGCAGGCAATGGGCATCCACTCCGCAGGGCCAAGCTGCTGCCAAAGGAAAGCCTTAAAAATACTTCAGTGGTGGGCAGCACCTCACCAGGCTCCTGCCAGGCTGTGCCATGGGTGGCCACCACCATGGACAGGAATTGGCATCCAGCTTGCAAGCCCTTGCAGGTGCCCTTGTCATCTGTGTAAGCTTTAGCTTAGCAGCTGCCCATGATAGGTGTTTTGCACGTCACAAAGCTAGCTGAGCTTTTGGTGCTTTTAGGTATTTGTCTGCTCTTCGAAAAGAGCTATTCTTACTGCTCCTGGATCTTGTTACAGTGGTGAGCTCCACTACTGCAGTATTAGTCACTCCAGTTGTCCTTTCAGAGGCAGGCAGTGTGGGGGCTGTTTTGCAAGAGCTCAACGGAGCCTTTCAATAGCCATTTGTTTAATTGCTTAACCCTTTATTTAACATTTGAGACTGACGGAGATGAGAGTCTCTTGGGGCAGCACCCTGAACGACCAAGCAGCCTTTTCAAGGACAGCACTGCTTGCTCCACTCGGAGAGGGGCCTAGAAAAGGTGGCCTAAACAAAGCTCATCTCCACCTTCACCCGGTTGGTTAACCGCAGACCGACGGGCATCTTCTTCCAATGCGGTCGCACAAAGAGCAAAAGACAAAGGCATGCACCTGCCTCCAAAGGTGTACCCAAATTAACTCTAGCATGTTGGAACATCAGAACCATGCTCGATTCTGCGAACAGTGGGCGTCCTGAGCGACGTTCTGCCCTAATTGCCCATGAACTGGCTCGTCTCAACATCGACATTGCTGCTCTCAGCGAAGTTCGCCTTCACGAGGAAGGCAGCCTCAGAGAACATGGTGCCGGTTACACACTCTTTTGGTCAGGTAAGCCCAGAACCGAAAAACATCTCTCAGGTGTCGGTTTCATGATCAAAAACTCTATTGTCCCTAAACTCGAAAATCTGCCGACAGGTCACTCTGACCGCATTATCTCCCTACGCCTTCCACTAAACAACAAGCAACACGTTGTCATCTTCAGTATATATGCCCCAACTCTCCAAGCTGACCCTGCTGAAAAAGATGAATTTTACACTGACCTGCGCTGCCTTACCCAAAAGGTGCCCGCAGATGATAAGATCATTATCCTTGGTGATTTCAACGCCAGAGTAGGTAAGAATTTTGAAGCTTGGAAAGGAATACTAGGCAAGCATGGTGTTGGAAACTGCAATGATAATGGTCGACTTCTGCTAGAATTCTGTGCAGAGCAACAGCTTACCATAACTAACACTATCTTTCAGCAGAAAAATAGTCTGAAGACAACCTGGATGCACCCCAGGTCTAAGCATTGGCACCTCATTGATTATGTCTTGGTGCGTCGGAGAGATGTCCGCGATGTCCTCCATACCCGCGTGATGCCCAGCGCAGAATGCCAAACAGACCATCGGCTTGTGCGCTGTAAACTCAACTTCATTCTCAAATTCAAACCCAAAAGGGGCAGTATCCCAAGGAGAAGACTTCAAGTTAACGATCTCCAATCAGCCACAGTAAGAGAAAGATTCCAGACAAATCTTCAAACCAGGCTCGAAAACCATCCCACAAATCCTGCAGATTCCTCTCCTGAAACAATTTGGTATCATATTAAAAGCTGCATCCTGCAATCCTCTGAAGAATCCTTAGGGTTCTCCCTCAAGAAGAACAAGGACTGGTTTGATGAAAACAATCAAGAAATCCAGGACTTGTTGAGGAATAAGAGAACTGCCCACCAAGCACACCTTGCACTGCCATCCTGTCACGCAAGAAAAACAGCCTTTCGTCTTGCATGCAGCAAGCTTCAGCAGAAACTCCGTGTCATCCAGAACAAGTGGTGGACTGATCTAGCTGCAAAAACTCAACTATGTGCAGATACAGGGGATCACAAAGGATTCTATGAGGCCCTGAAAACAGCATATGGGCCTACGTACCAAGTCCAAAGCCCACTACTCAGTGCAGATGGTCAAACGCTTCTGACAGATAAAACCTCCATTCTGAATAGATGGTCTGAACACTTTCAGACTCTTTTCAGTACCAACCGTGTAGTACAAGACTCAGCAATTCAGTCCATCACACAACAACCGGTGAAATTCGAATTGGATACTGCCCCCACTTTAGGAGAAACCCTTAAGGCCATACAGCAGGTGAAAATCGGCGAGGCAGCTGGGGTTGATGGAATTCCACCCGAAGTCTGGAAACATGGGGGCCTTGCACTCCATGCTAAATTTCACGAGTTTGTGGTGCGCTGTTGGGAACTAGGCGAACTACCTTCAGACCTTCGTGATGCAGTCATCATCACCTTGTATAAGAAGAAAGGTACTAAATCAGACTGCTCAAATTACCGTGGTATTACTCTGCTCTCCATTGCTGGCAAAATCTTGGCAAGAATACTCCTGAACAGACTAATACCCGCTATAGCAGAAGTTATTCTACCTGAAAGTCAGTGTGGCTTCAGAGCCAACAGGAGCACCACAGACATGATATTTGTTCTCAGACAACTGCAAGAGAAGTGTAGGGAACAGAACAAAGGTCTCTATGTAACCTTTGTCGACCTCACCAAGGCTTTCGATACTGTAAGCAGAAAAGGTCTTTGGCAGATTTTGGAATGTTTAGGTTGTCCCCCCAAGTTCCTTAAAATGATCATCTCACTTCATGAGGATCAGCACGGCCAAGTCAGATATGGCAACACACTTTCTGAGCCCTTTCTAATAAAGAATGGCGTGAAACAAGGCTGCGTTCTTGCTCCTACCTTATTCACAGTCTTTTTCAGCATGATGCTCCTAAGGGCCATGGCAGACCTCGATGATCAGGACGGTATTTACATTCGATATCGTACTGATGGAAGCCTATTCAACCTAAGGCGACTGAAGGCCCACACTAAGACCCTAAACCATCTTGTCCGGGAGCTGCTCTATGCTGATGATGCCGCCCTTGTTGCCCACACAGAAGCAGCTCTGCAGCGTTTAACATCCTGCTTTGCAGATGCTGCTGAGCTCTTTGGGCTGGAAGTCAGCTTAAAGAAGACTGAAGTTCTCCATCAACCTGCACCTCAGGAAGTCCTCCATCATCCCCACATCACCATCGGCCAGTCAGAACTCAAATCAGTCCAACAGTTTAATTACTTAGGCAGCCTCATCTCCTCAGATGGTAAGATCGACGGGGAGATAGACAATAGGTTAGCAAAGGCATATAGTGCCTTTGGAAAGCTCCATAAAAGAGTCTGGCGTAATAAACACTTGAAGAAAAGTACCAAGATCAGTGTTTACAGAGCCATAGTGCTGTCTACTCTTTTATATGGTTCTGAATCATGGGTCATCTACCGCCACCACCTGCGTCTCCTAGAACGCTTCCATCAACGCTGCCTCCGCACAATCCTAAACATCCACTGGTCAGACTACGTGACCAATACATCTGTTCTTGAAGGGCAGCAATCACAAGTATTGAGGCCATGCTACTGAGAACGCAACTGCGATGGGCAGGGCACGTCTCTAGGATGAAGGACCACCGCCTCCCTAAGATCCTGCTCTATGGTGAACTTGCCACTGGCTGTCGCAAGAGAGGAGCTCCGAAGAAAAGATACAAGGACTCCCTGAAGCAACAACTCAGCCTCGGGCATATTGATCACCATAACTGGTCTACTCTGGCCTCTAATCGGGAGGCCTGGAGACAGACCATTTATAACGCTGCTGATGCTTTTGAGAAAGCACACAGGATCACTCTTGAGGAGAAAAGACAACGCAGAAAGAATCGAGCCTTGCAGAATATACCATCTAAGGAGTCTTTCTGCTGTGTCTTTTGCAACCGGACGTGTCTATCTCGTATTGGCCTTTTTAGCCACCAACGCGCTTGCAAGAAACGTGGGTAGAGTCCTTCCCAAATCTTCGTTCGCGAAGCCTAGCCATGATTTATTTAACACTGATGTATTATTTCCTCCTGACAAAGAAATAAGTTCTTTAGCCAAGAAAAACATGATGGTTCTTGAGCAGTGAAAGTAAGATGCCACACAGGCAGGAAAGCCAGTCATGACTGCATGACCTTTGTGCTGAAGTCCCAGGTGGAAGACATAACCATGGAAAACACTTTGCCCCCTATGCTTGCCAGGAAATCATCCACTTGCCAGGGAGACATTTCTTACCTCCCCAGGACACCACAGGGAGTGGAGATGGTCCTGCCAGGAGCTCAGTGCCACTTTCAGGAGGGATGAGACCTGGTAAGGCACTTTTTATTGCCCAGACATTCTGTACCTACACATAACTATGCTCATTTTGTCCTCAGTGACTGCTTCAGTTATAGCATCAAATTTCAAATATCACTGTAGGGTGGGATGGGATTTCAACACTAGTGCTGTGGGGAAACTTATTTATTGGGAGAAGGGAGTTTATAAACACATTAAGGCATTCTTCTTCATCTGATTTATGATGAGATATCCCAGACACTTAAGGGCAGAAGTAAACTAGGATGAACACATATCTTTTCTGCTAGTAGTGCCCATATTTCACAGGGGCATGAAAAACCAGACATTTCTAGATAAGAAGTGGAAAATTCTTTCCTCTATTTGAAATAATCTAAAGTTCTCCTTTTATGTTGTGCTCCCAGTCTTCCTTGTCATTTGATAATTTTGTTAGCATCATTGTAGTGATGATGATTTAAACATAAAAGAAAAATTTTTAATTTTGCATTTATTCTCTCCAGTAATCCTTCAAAATATTGCTCTGGGTTAAGGGATAAGGTTAGTGGGATTTGCAGACTAGCTTACTAGTACAACAGCAACAAACAATTTAGGTTAGGTTAGGTTTGGCTAGGTTAGGTTGGGCTAGGCTGGGCTAGGCTGGGCTGGGTGAGGAGAGGAGCAAATGGAACGGAGACATTTGGGTTTAGAAGCTTCTTTCTCGGGAAGTGCAGTGTTGTTCCTGCTTAGTCTACATACAGTGACGTCGGCGGGTGGGGAAAGAGGAAAGAGGAGGGGTGATCTCCTAACAAACAGCTGTTGCAGCTGCAGAGAGGAAAAAGGAGAAAGCTCAGGAGCAGCAGAAGAAATTCGACCCTTGCAACAGGTAATATCTCTTGAGCACAGGTGACCTAGACTGCTCAAATGCAAAAAGGAAGGGGGAGAAAAACAGTGGGTGGGATGCGCCTGTGGGAGAAAAGTACATCAGCTATACTAGTTCTCAGCAGCTCTCTTCTTCCTGAGCTACAGAACTTGCAGCTTGTCAGAGGGGTAGGAGGGGGAAGGAACAGAAGATCAGACCAATATGACTTATTATGACTTAAAAGGAAATGGTGTCAGCAGAGGGTGTCAGCTTTTCTAGCAGATCTTTCCTTCTGAAATAAAAAAGGAACATTGCTCTCTGGTTTCAGCCTGAGGGCTGGTTCCTCATGTGCAGTCAGGGCACGTGGGAAGATGGCCAAGTGCAATGGCCCTGACAGCAGGGAAGTGCTCAGTGCATGCAGGCCCAAGTGGGACCCTGGGACCAAGGGACCCTGCTTGGGATGCCCCTGGAGAGGGACCTGAGTGTGGCCTTCATCCTGGTACTCTGCAAGGCACACGTAGCTGGGGCAAAGGGATGCCTTGAGCTGGGAGCCTCTGCTGTGCTGTCACCTTAGCTCATGGGGAAACATGGTCCTGACCACCCTTCAGGCACTGAAGGCACCTGCCTGCATGCTTGCCTTGGATCATAGTTGTCACAAAGCCATACCAGAGACCTTCATGATAAAATAATAAAATATAACAGTTACACTTATATGATATTTCTGCCTGAGGAAATACATCAGGCTTTGCAAGGAAAAATGGTAAAATCTCTGCTAGCGAATAGAAGGGAAGGGAGGCTATTTGGAACCGTGCTGTGTGCTGCTTCTGATATTTCTAACATTTCGTCTAGTTTTCTAGGTTTTGAGCCCAGAGAGAAAGCATATAAAATTTTCTACTAAGCAAAGCTGATACTAAGTATGATAACTGCATTCCCAGCATTTCAATGTATTTGGCATAAAATCAGCCATGGTAAGGAGAAACTGACAATTAAAACAGCAGATAACAAGTCTTGCCTTCTGTCTCCTACAAGACCCATGTTTGTTTGTTTCTCCTGTCATCAATTCAAGCAGAGTACTGAAACGTGTAGTGATCCCCCAATGCCTTCAAAGGAAAGCAACTTGAAAGTCTTAAAGCACATCACACCACAAGGGAGAAATGCAGCAGCAAATAGTGAGCACTAGTGAGGCAAAGTGAGGTTGGGAAGATTAGCCAACAAGACTGAACAGCTACCTTGTGGATTGCTAGTCAGTGTTTTGTCTCCAGGGGTGCTCTAGAAGCAGGTTCTGTGCGGTAAATGTGGAATGATGGCTGCTGTGAACCGAGGGAAGCAGGGAATCTAACTAAAGCCCATTTCTTCTGCTAGTGACTTTCACAATTCAGCGGATGGCTGAATTTTGTGTTGTGATACAAAACTATTGGGACAGTGAAATAAGTTATTCTCAGCCTGCTTCTGTTTCTCTAGATAAAGAGATCAGCCTTTGGATGAGAAAGACCTTAGAGAGCAGTTACATTTCAGCTTCTTTTTATTACACTGAAATTACCTGTTATTGTCTGCAGATTACTTCACCTCTGTCAAAGGCTTCTGTTTGGTCTCACGTACCTTTTGTGCAGTGATTAACAAATGGATGAAACTGCATTTTCAGATCAGACTGTTCCTTTACACAGTGGAGAATATCAATCATCAAGTGAGGGAGTTGTGCTGCTCGCAGCACTGGGGCCAGGATCTGTCTGCCAGGTAACACCAGCATGCTGCCTGCCAGCACATCTCTACACTGCACTGGGAATATGGAGCACTCCACAAATGCCAACAGTGTGTACACATTTCAGCAGTCGCCAGTACGTTTTGAAGATGACGAGTTTTAATATGCAACAGCTGCTACATTGCAAAAACACTAATGTGAGGCTGCACTTACAAATGTCCTGTTTAGTCAAGATCAAGTAGTTTAAGAATTATAAAAACAACAGTTTTCTAGCCAGTCAATGGAGGAAGAGTCTGGAAAATACGACCAAATCACTGAAAGACAAATTCTGAGGATGACAGACAGATGTAGCAAACAAAAATTCAGATGAGAGAAACCATATGCTCAGCTTGCATCCAGTGCAAAGCCCAAATATCAGACCAAAGAGAGTGGTGGAGCTGCTGGCTGGAAAGCCTCAAGGTTTTTATGATTGTTCCTTTAATTTCCATACCCATTACAGTAATTCCTATCCATCGAGTACTGAGATTGTTTCTTAAATCAGAACAATGTTCCTAATTTTCTGTCTTTTTGTAATGTACAGTTTCCCATCCTTTTTTCTTACCACAAGATAGAAAAAAGTGTTACTCAGTAATTAAAGACATGGCTCAATATTTATAGATCTCACCAGACTTTAGTACAATTCAGTTGTATCATACTTTTCCCAAAAGGAGGGTATATGGAATACATTCCTTTGTTATATGTCTTATTTTCATAGTATCCATGGGCACTGACATCTCTTGGGAGAGTTTTTTTCCCACAAATTTTTTTGTGCTTATAGAAATGATGATATGAATAGCAGCCATACTGCATAACTAGAAGAGAGGAAGACAGGTATTTTCTAAGATCTCCCAGGGACTTACTTAGAATAAAAATTTAGAAGATCAATTTATATAGATCAAGTTGTATAAGTCTGTATTGTTATTTATGGTCTTGGTCCAGTGCTGGGAATGAAGTATAGGCATTTACCAAATTTACATATTTCTAAACAGAGACATTTACTACATTTGTTATTGTACAGATATAAATGAAATAAAGTTTGATGGCAGAGACTGCACAAACACACAGGATCAAGGGGCAACTTAAAGAGAGTACTACTTATTGGGGTAGGAAATCAATAGGTCAAACACAGGAGACACAGGAGATAAATTCTAGTACAAAATTAACAAATAAATTTCCCAAGAAGGTAGATAGTCTTTTTTATAGCTGGAGGGCAGGCAAGCCTCTCTTTTCAGAATAGGCCAGAAGAAAATACATTTATGGGAAACTAAGGACCTCCAGAGCTAACAGAGTTGATTGCTGGTTGACTTCTCACTCACTGCTTCTCAGAGAGGGTTCCTGTGACGTGATCCCCCTTTGCCAGGAGGAAAGGACCACGAGGTTTCTTCTCTGGATTCCAGTGGCAAAAAGTAGTTTATTCGAAATCCCACGGGCTTTTAAAGTCTCCGGAGGAGGGTTTAGAAAGGGGGGGGACTGGGGAGAGACGAATGAGACAACCAATAATGCTTGTGCAGGGGCGGGGACTGGCTTGGGGAGGTGAGAGAATATGGCGCTGTACAGGGAGATCGTGTGGGTAAAGGGAATTACAGAATTCAGGGGAGAACCGTACAATAAAAACGCAAGTAATCGGTGTCTTTCCACTCCACTCGATCCTGGAGAGCTGCCACCGTGAGGGACCTGTTCCTATAGGCATTCTTTCCATGACTCATAATCTCTGTATTCTCCCACACAGAGCCTTTGAAGTTTTGCAAAAAGTCAGATTATCCATAAAAATTAGGTTAGAATAGCTACAAAAGTGCTTCTGTTCCAACAGAAGATTAATTTTATGAAATGCAACTTGAATCCAGCAGTCAGTGGAGTATCTTTGTTTAGTTACTTTTTCCTCTGGAGGTACAAATTTCAGTTTATGGCTACAGTTCACCCTAATGTTTGGTGGAAACTCAGAAATTTTTTCTGGGCATATCCTAGGTATGTCTCACAAAAAGAGCCTTTGACCCATTAGGCAGAGTTCTGTTTTACGACCACTAAGAGATAGTTTTCACTGATCTTTTTACATTTCATAGAATGGTTTGGGTTGGAAGCGACATTAAAAATCATCTAGTTCCAGCCCACCTACCATGGTCAGGGACACTTTCTACTAGACCAGGTTGCTCAGAGCCCTATCCAACCTGCTCTTGAATACTTCCAGGGAGGGGGCAGCCACAACTTCTCTGGGCAACCTGTCCCAGTGCCTCACCACCCTCACAGTAAAGAATTTCTCCCTAATATCTAATCTAAACCTACTTTATTTCAATTTGAAACCATTCCCGCTTGTCCTGTCACTACATATGCTTGTAAATAGTCTCTCTCCACCTTTATTGTAGGCTCCCTTCAGATACTGAAAGCCATCTCTTCTCCAAGCTGAACAATCTCAATTCTGTTAATGTTTCCTCATATGAGAGGTGCTCCAGCCCTCTATTCATCTTGGTGACCCTCCTCTGGACTCCAACAGGTCAATGTCCTTCCTGTGCTGGGGATCCCAGAGCTGGGTGCAGCACTCCAGGTGGGGTCTCACCAGACCAGAGTAGAGGGGCAGAATCACTTCCCTCAACCTGCTCACCATGCTGCTTTTGATGAAGCTGAGGATACAATTGGCTTTCTGGGCTGCAAGTGCACATTGCTGGATCATGTCCAGCCTCTTATCCAGCAGCACCCCCGAAGTCCTTCTCATCAGGGCTCTTCTCAATTTCAGCTCTTTTTCTTTGATTTACTAACATATCCAAAGAGGGTGTAATTTCTTACAATGTTGTTGTCATACAGTTTTTTATTTTCACTTCCACAGCTTTACCATGAACATGTACCTGTTTGTGTATGACTTAATGCAATTCTGTGGACATTCATGGATATTTACAAATATGATCATCAGGTTCATGACATTTGGAAAAGGTAGGATTCCTTCTCTATTTTCCTTAAGCATTTTAAGACACAGTGACAGACACAGAGAAATATCAAATGAGAGATTAAGTTAAGATTCTGAATATGTGACTATAATTCAGTTAGGAAAATACTCTGTTAAAAAGACTGAACAAATTCCTGGAATCTATGTTCTGTCCCTGTCACATAACGAATGAAGCTCATTTTGCTAATGGGCTTTAATATTCAGCAGCACGCTAGTAACATTTGACTTAGACATAAACCTAAATGTGACTAGGTCCAGTCATTATGGCAAATATTAATCTTACTGAAGCCACCAGGAGAGAAGATGTTAGTGGTTATTGCACATGACTCTCTATCTTCAAAAACATTACAACGTATTTCTCTTTCTATTGCCTGGAGTTGACACAAAAATAGAAAACTAGTGATGATTTATAATGGTGGACAGTTGTAGGCATACAAAATGCCTCCTTTCTGGTCTACTTGTTTTAGGCAGTGCCATGGGTACAGATAAAGGCAGGAACTCAACAATCTCCTCATGTTTAGACATTCCTCATGCATTTGCTCAACATTTCCTCCTATTTAGAAATACCTAAAGTGGTATCTCTAAACCAACACATCCAGCACAGTGTTTGCCCATGAATTAAATATAGGGAATTTAGTTACTATCTCAGCTCCCTGCCTCTGTGTCAGAGCCACATACGGAGTGGACTGCCTTTTCCACTCCCTGAAGCTTGGCTTCTGCTACCCAAAAGTTTGGTACTGTGTAAACTTTCCTTCTCTACATCTCCAGTGGTGATAGGACAAGAGCTAACCCAGCAATTGCTCCAGACCTTTATAACCATCCTCTAATTTTCCCCTTCACTTTGTCTGTAGATTCGTTGGCTGACACATTTTACTCCATAGGACTTGTAATGCGTGTTTGCCAATTGTTATCTATACTGGAGATCCTGCACATCCTCACTGGCATTGACAAAAGCCGTCTCTTCCCCAGGTTTTTGCAGGTAAGATCATTTCTCAAAACTCTCTTCATGACCTGCACATGTCAGCCACGGCTGCCCCTGGGGACAAGCCCAGGCTGAACTACCCTGAATGTTCCACTTGCACCCTTCCTCAGGGAGCCTAGTCTGCTGATAGTTTGCTAACTGCAGGAATTGAGTCCTCAGAACTGGGTTGCTTGGGAAAGGATTTCCCACTGAGGGACAATGTCTCAGGCCACCAGGTATCTGAGAAGGGTTAGGTAGGCCAAGGCACACCATGAAAGAAAATGAGTCCTGTGTGATGGATGTGCTGGGGGAAGGTAAGACAGGACATGGTTGCAAAGCTGGTGCAAAAGGGATGTCTCTCAGGGCATTTGCAGCTTGAGTTGGAGGAGGGTAGGACAACATGCCTTTGTCACCAAAACAGAAGATAATAAAATGTGACAGTCTGGCCAGGGAGTAAAGGCAGATGGGACTGGTACCTTAGTAAGGAGAGAGGAAAGATATAAAAAAAAGACTGGTGGTTTTGTGAACAAAACACCAGTTCTTCATCGTATGCAAACAGGATTTGATTTACCAAACCAAAACCAACGTACTACAGTTTTGTGATAAAACCATTAATTTTAAACTTTAAATATTTAGTAGCACTTTTCTCACTTTCCTTTGTTGTTGGGTTTTTTTTTTAAACATTCACTGAATTGAAGAGCTGTGTAAGGGTTTAAGCTACCAAGTATGATACTGCAATCACAGTCATTAAAAAATGGAAGTGAGTGTGCTGTCTGCTCCTGCCCAAACCTCAGCTAGCCGAATTTGCTCTGTTTCATTTACTTGACTCAAAAACACAGGCTGCCTTGTGGAAATTTATGCCCTTCTACAGAACTTGCTGTATTCTGTGAGAGATCAGTGCTGGGAGAGGAAGGAAATTCTGATTTGATTTTAAAGAAGGAAAGAAAACTGAAACCATTGTAACATGTTAGCACATATTTTCTTTTTATGAATATGAAAACATAGGACTTGGAGATTTGCTGGTTTGTTTTTTTTCTAAGCAAGAGAGCAGCAAAAGAGAACCCCATATTTTCATTCATGCAAGGACGAATGATCCATACAGGAAATGATCCATTGCTGAGCAGCAACATGTGCTTTTTATCTATGTGTGTATATGTGTGTATACACACACGCGTGTATATTTATATATGTACATGACTCCATGTATATATGTATACAGATACGGTGTGTATAGGGGCACAATATCAACAGACATTTACTGGAATCTCCTCTTCTTCAAGTAGCTTGTCACTTGCAGAGAAGGTCCTCAGTCTCTGATTAACCCCTGCATCTACCTTTGATTTGTGCAGGCTACATAAAGGTATGAGCTGTGAAAGAGCACAACGTCTTAAAGAGAATAAAGGCAAGCAGGCAGGCAACCCCTGATTTATGCAGAAAAAGAAGTAGGATGCCACTCTCTGTCCTCAAGGGGACATTACAATTGCTCTGAGTAGCCAGGTCTGTGTCCTGCCTGCAGACACGCTCCAGAGTAAGGCCACATGTCGTTTCTGGTTTCAGTGTCTGGTGGCTGCTTTGTGCATCCCATTGTTTGCCAGATGAGACTGCACTCTAACAGGAACAGAAGACCCAAAGGGGCCCAGCTTTGTGTCACGTTCAGTTTCCTGCTCTTGCATAGTATACTGTCTGATTACCAAGTTCCATCATGTACAAATAGTAAAGCTGAGTGCCTCCATCGCTCCCCTTCCCAAACCTGAATCCTCTGATGGAGGAAATCTGCCTCTCGGGTTTCTGCCCTAATGAGAGAAGGAAATCCACAGCCTCTTCCGCTTCCAGATCATGATGCTGAATTGTGGGTCTCCATAGCCACTCTGTCTCACTAGCCAGTGCACATTCTTTTGAAACTGGGGATGGTGACTTCCTACTGCTTGTCTTTTCTCTCACTGATATGGAATCAGATTCTGATCATTTGACCCATGCTGTTTTCCAATGCATTTCCACCAAGCTGCTTCTTGAAAAGCAAGTGACCATTTGGAAAATCTTCCAGCTCTGACATCTAAAAACATGTCCATCTTTTCATTATCAGGAAAAAGCCTTGGTCTCTAGGACAATTTCCTGTAGCAACTCCTTGAAATAGCTCTTTATTAACAACATTGCAGAACTCTCTCTACACATCTCAGTCTGATTTTAGGGTCAGTAGCAAAATGCCCACATCACCAATGCTGCAATCTTTACCACCCTTCATCTAACAATTTTATCTCAGGTCTATTTTATCTGTTCTCTCCAGCACACAATCCCCTTCAGTGCTCACACTGCTTTTACCTTTGTTTTATTTTCCCTCTTGTGATGGTTGCCCTCCCATGTTTCTCCTACCTTTGTTCTATCTGGTTTGAGATCCTGAATCAGTACTTCCAGTTCCCCCATGTTTTTGTCAGGTTCCTCAGCATCACTGTACAAACACAGGATGTATTACCTCTCACCTTCTGTTTCTTGGCCCATATATACAGAAGTCTGTCAACATCTGACCTTCTTGGAAATCAGTTCCTCAGTTAGGGACCCATGGGATCAGCAACACAAGATGACAGTCAGGAGAGCGTGAGAGGCAGCAAAAACATTTTTAGCTGTTGTGGCCCCTCAGTGCTTTCTAAGATGAGGAACCAGATCCCCAGAGGATAGACATGCTTGCTTTCTGTATGAAAAATTGCTCTCACGTAATTTTGCTGAGTAGTGAAGTGAAGGCTGCTTTATCCAACAGATGTGGATTGGAAAAAAAAAAAGTTTGTCCCAAAATGATCCACGCAGGAACCCATAAACATTATGTAGCAAAACTACCACTTATTTTGTTTAAGGTAGGAATAAGAGGAAAAGGGGAAACCAGTGAAGAATAACTGTGCTTATAAAAACAACCTTGGTAATCCATTTTTATTTTGCAACTTTTCACTGACTCGACACCTCAACTTCTGAAAGCATTAAACCTAAGGTATCTTATGGAAGACATGGCAGTGGGTAAAAAAAACAAACAATGAAGCCATACTGATTCATACTGATTAGATGCATGTTTTCTCCTTCAACACTTTCAAATAGAGTGTAAATCAGAGTGAATTGATAATGTTCTCGGAGAGCCTGACAAGCAAATTCTTGGCAGTACTAATATATTTACTTTGCAGGGCAGGGCATGGATATTGTTAGGAAACTTTTTCAGGAAAGCTGCAAAAAGACAAACTTGTTTTTAATTTCTTGAGCTTTACTACCACAAAAGTCTTATTTTAAGCTGGGGACACTGCCTGTTTAATCCACTTTTATCTCTTCATTTGTAAAGGCATACCTTGTGGGTTAGATAAAGTTCAACCACTAGAAAAATGTTAGGACATAAATACTGTGGCAATCATTCACGTAAGTGACAAGCTTAAACCCACCTCCCCCAGTCAGGAATAAGACGGAAAGAAAGACAGGAATTCTGCTTTTCCTCCCTCTTTCTGCAAATCTTACATGACAGAGATGCCTTGAGACACAGATCTCTAAGTTATGGCAAGCAGAGCTGGGAGTGTGAGATTAGTACTTTCTGGCATACTACCCCTCCAAGAAGTGCCTTCTGTATCCCACTGCTTCCCACACAGCCTACAAGCAAGGAAGCTCATCTCTGCTGGCCCTCCAGGCACCCATGTGCAGTGGGAGTAGTCCTTGCTTCCATGACCTCAGTCGGTTCAGCCACAGGTTTCCTTGGCTACAAACCCAAGTCATGCCGGTTGGCAAGCAAACCTCTGCACTTACCATGGCAGATCTGTGATGCTGCAGCCAGCAGTGTCCAGTTGCCTGTGCTGAAGGCCAATGGGATCTTGAACAAAAGCAGGCCAAGAAACAAAACATTCACTGCTGAATTTGCGTAAAGGAAACTGGATCCACCTGTGGCCTCCTATCTTGCCAAAATGGCACAGAAATAACAGCTACAGAAGGTGCTACATGAATTCAAAATTCTCTTTTCTTTTCAGATCACTGAGAGAATAATTGTTTTATTTGTCGTGATCAACAGTCAGGAAGAAGTTCAAGGGAAATATGTCGTGTGTGTTTTATTTTTCCTTTGGAATTTATTAGATGTGGTCAGGTAAGGAGTCAACATCAAAACCACGAGGGGAAAACGGGTTATTCTTGCCACCAGAACCCCACCCTTACTGTGCAGTAGGCTCATTTAATTGTTTCAAAATTGGCAAAGCATATCATCCATTTTAAGTAAAGCTTGAACCTTGTAAGTTACTTACTGATTTTTATAAAAATCCACATGGTTGAGAGGCAGAGTGACTTAAAAATATAAGACAGAGTAATGCAGTAACATAATGCATTATCATTTGTAGTTCAAAGGCTTTGCCTTTTTTTAACAAAAATTTAAAACAAAATCACAACTACCTTCCAAGGAACACCGATTTCCAAAACTTATTTACCATCCTATTGCTTTATTTTTTTGTTTTTGTCCACTTTGATCCAAGATTGACAGCACAGTAAGGCACCAGCAGAACTCCTTGCTAAAATGAAAAGACTATTCTAGGTTAATTCCACCTGTGCTTTTCAAAGACCCAAGAGGTCCTGTAGCAGAGATGAGCATTTTGGTGTAGTAGGGCATGTATCACACCACAAGGACAACAAACATACTTCTCAAATGTAACATAAGCCTCTATGCACCTCAGTTTGTAGACTTACAGCAGGTAAAACATACAGAATTAAGAAGCCTTTTAAAAAGGCATAGCCCTCACAATAACCTATGTATGGTAGCAAAATCTTTTTTTCTTTCTGCTAAAATAGCTTTCTGCTACTTCAAATACATTGCTTAGGGGACTGACTGAAAAATATGGATTTAGGCAGCAAAGGAAATGCATGTTATAAAAGAGATCTAAAAAAGGAAAGTGTCAGAATTGATAGAGATTTTAAGTCAGCTTCAGAGTATTTGTACTACATGTGTTAATAGACTACTACTTGCATTAATTATTTTCATTATTGCTCCACCCCATTTAGTTTTGAAGCTTGTAAAGCTAAAATAGTAGAACTTAATCTGAAATGAAAGGGTTCTGTGCAGCTGGAGAGATGCCAAAAATATAAACAGAATTGGCTGTAAAGTCCTGTCAGTGCACAGTAATTCTATCAGTGCATCATTAAACCATTGCTGAAGAACACACTCCAGCATCACAGCAGTAATGGCAGTTGCTTAGCAAGCAAAATACTGTAGTCTATAGCAGCAAATGACCAATTCAAATAACATATTGCAACTCATATAGGTTTAGAATTATTGCCTGATTTATTTTACAGCATCTGTGTCACGTCCTAGTATCTCAAAGAAACATCTATCTAAAGGTGCAAAGGGATCTATCCCATCCAACTACTCTTGAAATATTACAAGTTCTTCCACATAGTCCTTCAGGGACATAAATATCCCTGAAGGACTATTTATTATGCATTATGACTAATGGTGGCCATGAGCAAATTCTGCAAAGTTTTCTATACCTGATCTTTCCTGCTTATAGCATGAACAGCCCATGGAGTTGTATAGAGGGGGAGTAGCTGTGTCCTTTTCCTGTTTTGTATCAGGTTGAGATTCAGCTTTAAAAGCAACAATAATAAAAAATGGAGACAATCCTGAGGTTTCAGAGATCAAACTTGAGAGAAAATGGTACAGTTACAGCCTATCAAACTCTTCTACAGTCCAGGTATGATGCAAAATGAATCAATTAATAAGAAGGGAATATAGAAAGTTTGTTTAATGCTGGTTTCATCTTGGGTAACAGATTTTCATATCTCTAGCAAGACCACAGGGCAAAAAGCCTTTCAGCTGACCAAAAACAGGATCAGACCTGTTTCTCAGTGTTTGGAAAGCTGCTGTACCACTTTAAGATCAAACCAGAATTAGCTCACCTTTGGAGACTGAAGTCCTAAGCATTCTGGTCTCCCAGTAACAGTAACAGCCACAGTAAGAATAAAATGAAGAAATACATTGGAGCACGACTGCTTTCTTTTTTGCTCCTACTACCCCTTCTGAGGTCCAGGATAGGGGCAGATGTACTACAGAAGGTTAAGTTCCTGCAATTACCTTCCTGTTTAGCCTTCTTCAGCAATGATTTAGCTAGCTCAGCAATCATAAATTAGCATTTTCTTAGTCCCAAGTGATAGGCATATTCTACCTGCACCTACCCGAATGCAATGTCCCCATCTGAAATTCATTTTCTAATGGATCAGTATGAAATCAGGATGTTTCTGATAGAGCTGTCTGTCTGGAGGGCTCTATTGCTGTCTGCCTGCTCTGGGGTAGCACCACAGACCCACCTCTCCAAAACAATGAACCATCTACTTTTAGGCTATGGAGCCTTAACAAAGTCGTTGCTCATTCTGAAATTTACTGAGATAGGCAGCTCCAAGCTCTTCTGCTCTTCTGGATTTTTCAATAACATCTCTTTATTCTAAAAGACATCATCATGCCCTCTGAGCTCATCTGCTTTCCTCTTGCTGCAGATACACTTACAACATGTTGGCAAGGATGGGAATATACTACCTACCATTGACATGGCTCAACTTCTCACTGTGCATCCCTCTTTATCTCCTTTCAGTTCTGGCTAAAGGTAAGGATGTAATAATAATGTGATCACTTCAACTGCCATTTGTGTTTAAGGTAGTTCTTCTTGTGTTGCCAAAGTTGTCACAAATGTCTATGTACCTTCATATTAACCTGTATGTCACCTCTCTTTCTCTTTTCTGTTCTTTTTTCTTTAATAGGGGCTCTCTGACGTTTGGAGTTTGTGTGTCTGGTGGGGTTCTTGTTTGGTTTTGGATTGTTTTTTAACAATATAGGAAAATGTTCATTTTTCTGAGTAAAGCAGAAAAATACTCTTGTAAAAGACAAACGGATTCCCCCATTCCAGACTGAGCACATTAGACAGCAAGTTCCAGAGCTGCCTTCTCCCCCATTGAGGCTGACCTTACCGGTTCAGGCCGTACTTAGCAGGTCATCATACTTACTTCAAGAAAAGTGCCCATTGAGAGCACACTGAAAGCACTGTAACTACAGGATTGACACTGAATAGGAAATACTTGCTAATTCTAGTACTAAGAGCAATTAGCACCTCAGACCTACAAAACTGAACTCAAGGAGAAAATGTTCATATGTGTATGAATATATATGAATGTGAATATATATGTATATTAATGCATAGGTATATACAATACAGCTGTTTGTGCTTTAAAAGTAATTAACTGTTACACAAAGCTTTTTGATGATCTTCCACCTCCTTTTGACTAAGGATTTACCATGTTTTACAGCATTTGCAATTTGTGTATCACTGCCTTATTTTGAATATTTTGGCACATACTCCATCAAGCTACCATTTCCACTCGCCTTCTCAATCTACTTCCCCTATGTTCTGAAAATGTACCTGCTAGTGCTCTTTACAGGTAAGTATCTCATCTTTCAGAAAGCTGGGTCCCAAGGCAACTGCGATGTCTATGGCAAGAAAAAATCAAGTCAGTATTGTGCCTTTCTTAAACTCTGTCTCTGCCACATCTTCTGCAGACCACTGCAGGGACGTGCATTACCACCTGTTTTGATTTCCAGTGTCTTTCAAATACAAGTAGTTAAATTTGTAAGATACACCATGTGTACTAGGCATAAAAATACAAACCAATAAAAATAGTTTCAGTGGTCCTGGCCTTACAGCTACTTAGAGAAGCTTCATTTTTTTGTTTGGTTGGGATTTTTTTTAAATTAATTTCCATTTGATCATACTCTTGTTCTGTGCAACTACTGCTCATTCATTTGTGATACCTGGGATGAGAAGTTATATCTAAATTAACACTTTTACCACTTGATTATTCAAAAGGATGAAAAAACTAGCCCACTCCAAAACCTGCACGTAAATAGACTCCTTCTCCTCCTCATCAAAATACTTTTGAAAAATTTGGACATTACAGACAAGTCTTTGTTCTGTCATTGACTTTAACATGAATTTGAAGGATCTCAACTTTATGATGCAGTGTTCTGTTCCTAAGTACATGGAAGGAACCGTGCAAGGTTGCCAGATGAAGGCTCCTACTGCTCCTTCTAAATTTACTCAAGACAGTTTGGACTCTGCTCCCTTGTTCTTACACCATTTTATGTTTTGATTCAGGTATGTGCTTTATCATCCAGAACCTCTTCTCCGAGAGAAAGGCACACCTAGGGACAGGCAACATCAAGAATAAAAGAAGCTAAATCGATATTTTGTTTCAAAATACAAAATATGCTCCTAGTGGACCGCTGTATATCATAGGTTAAAAAGAAACTGGACAAAGATTTTCCAATGCAACACTCCTCTTTGCATGTACATCATCTGGCTGTGTACAATTTTCAGAAAGGCAGGTCTCTTGAATGCACCTCAAAAATGGAGCAACTTTGGAAAACTTTTGAAAGTTTTGACTAAAAATTACTGGAGTTTTTAATATTAATATATTTTTTCTAACATACTAGAGAATTCTGAACAAACTGAACAGTGCCTCCACTCACAGTCACACCAACAACCCTTATTTCAGTATTAATTCTTACCTCATTGGCAACAAATACTCTGTAATGACAATTACCATTTAATCTGTAAGATTACTTTATATTAGGCCAACATGTATGTGCCTGATATATAAAAGTTAAAAAGGCTGGAACTGGAATCTCTCAAGGAGAAGCCAGAACCATTGCAACCTATGACTGACATGCTGATTAGCCCCAGGCACTCACATTCTGGCCCATTCTTCACTTAACAAAAGAAGATTCCAGTACATGCAGCTAAACCAGAAAGGCAAGTGATCAGGTACTCAAGTACTATATATTCAAGGGGATATTTAAGGATCAGAAATAAATACTTATGATCATGTATCTGCCATGTCTGCCTCTTTCCCCTCAATGATTTTCTTCCATGCTGAACAGCAGACAGATGTGTGCAAAAGAAGCGGGATGCAGTCAGGCCAAATACATGTTGCTCTTTAAAGGGAACTGAATGACTACCAAAAACCATGTGCAAAATTCTAGGCATTTTACTCAATTGCATTGCTCCTTGTACTTCTGCAGGACTATCTGTGAGAATGCAACTAGATCATAGGCTCTTCAGAGGCTGGGAATTAAGAATACAACAGCAACACAGTGGATTGTACAGGCAAAAATAGCCAAATAACTCATTTTGGCTGGCAGGGGCTTTTCTGATGTTTTATTTGTATTGATTATCACCTGCATTTCAATTCAAATAGGTGGGGCAGAAAAGTGAGGCTAATTTTTTGAGCTTGACTGAAAACTGTGGGGAGGGAGGCAAGATAATAGTAGGAGAGAATATAAAAGGAAAATAAACACTATCACAGTATGAAGAGGCTTTTGCCTGTAAGACTTTTTAAACCACGTAGCCTAGGAAGTTCTATAAGGAAACAGGGAAGCTAAACTAAAGTGTTATGAAAGGTCACCTACTATAATTTTTATATATTTAATATCTGTGGCAGGCAATGCCTGTAGACTATTGTGACCACTCAGTATTTGCAAACCATAAGCAACAAGATCATGCATGCAATAGTATAGGGTCAACCATGGATTCTTTTTTTTCAAAGCACTGGAAACAGACGGGAATTCGGAACTTACTAGACAAACAGAAGTACTTCCACTTTGGACTTCTGTCTAACCCAAACTGATTCCAGTGTGAACAACGTGAAGAAACATCTAGAACAACTGAATAAGATGACCGTTTTGAAGAGGATAGCCAGAATAAATCCATATCAAACCACTATATAACTTTGAAACATGGACATTATCCCCCTTGGAAATTCAATCTAATATGTTTGTTATCAAACTACCTGGAGTTAACATACCCTATAGGAGGAAACATCACATATGATATTGTATTGGGTCTATGTGGCAAGGCTTTGGTAATGGAGAAGCTGTAGGAATGGCCTCCATGAGAAGCCATGGGCCTCCCCCATGCCAGAAACAGATGGTTCTAGCCAGTTCCAAAATTGAGCCACTGCAGGACACTGCTGAGCCAAACAGGAAAAATGATGGCATCTCTGTCAACATGTACATAAGAAAAGGTAAAAAAATGTTATGCAGCAGGTGTGAGAAAAAAGAGTAAGAAAAATGTGAGAAACAGCTCTGCAGACACCAAGGTCAATGGAGAAGAGGAGCTGCTCCAGGCACTGCAGCAGATTTCCCTGCAGGCCATGGAGATCATGGTGGACCAGGTTGTCCCTCTGCTGCCCATGCTGAAACACGCTATACAGGAGATATCTACACTGCAGCTTGGGGAGGACCCCATGCTAGAGCAGGTGGCTGTACCCTGAAGGAAGTTGCAGCCCATGGAGAGCCCACACAAGAACAAGTTCCTGGTAGGAACTGTGGCCCATTAGGGACCCAGGCTGAAGCAGCCTTTTCCTGACGGATTGTACCCCATGCTAGAGCAGCGCTTGAAGAGCTGCAGCTTGTGAGAAGGAACCATCAAGGTCTGTATCTCACGGGAGGGACCCCATGCTAGAGCAGGGGAACAGCATGAAGAAAAACAAACAGCAGAGATGAAGGTTTATGAACCAAGTGCAACTCCCATTCCCTACCCACCTTGTACTGCTTGGGGAGGGAGGAGGTAGAAGATTCAGGAATGAAAGAGTAAAGCTAACCCTAGGCAGAACGGAGGGGTGGGGAGAAGGCAATTTTAGTTTTGTCTTTCTTAGCATCCTACTCTATTTTTAACTGGCAATAAATTAGTCTTCCACAAGTTGAATCTGGTTTTCTGATAGTGAATGGTAAATTATCTCCCTGTCTTGACCCACGAACTTTCTCCCCGTCCTGATAAGTTGTTGGAGTGAGAATGGACATCTGGCAGCCAGTCGAGGTCAAACCTACCACAGATTAAACCATGTTTATTGCTTTATGTTAAAAAACTGTTCTGTCACTAAGTCTTGCAGCAGGCTAAAAGGCTAGAATAGGAAAAGGATTCTTTGAAATTGACTATGGGGAGGACTCCTGTAGGCATAGGCATGCTTTTGGAAGAATTCGTAAGGGGAAACTAGAACTTGCTGTTCCACTTAGGAAGCTTTTCTCCCTATCCCTTCTGCATTTCAGAGAAAGCTGCAGGGAGAGCTGTGAGTAAGCTCCCTCTGGAATGCAGGAGAGATTAGGTTCACAGACATGTACAGGGCCTCCTCGGGCCAGAGATGGCAGGGGAGGAGAAAGAGAGCATAAAAAAAGCCCTGGAAGAGCAGGGGAGCCTTTTCTCTGAGGTCCAGTGCTGTCCTGCAGCACTGTGAGGTTTTTGTAAGTTTTTTGCGTCCTTGCCTTCAAAATAAACCTTTCTGAATCCTTTCCACTGCCTTGGCATTTTTGGGTAAAGTATCTGCACATATTTTACCTTACAGCCCCCAAACCCAAACTGCAAGAAGAAGGCATGAACCTAATGTCAGAAGACTTCCCCACCTCCTTCTGGTACAGAGGTAACTTGGGGCAGGCAATTGGGAGATCCAGGCAGTCAGACTTCCATGTGTGACGACAGCAGGCCACTGTACCTTCAGCTCCAATGCCTCACCTGAGTTTCTGGGAAAGCTCTGGATTGGGCAGGCAAAAAGATGTTTAAGACAATGGCTTTTATGGCAAAGAGTTGTACTTCAATGATTGTAGCCTGTTAGAGAGGGATGGGATCCACCTGTCTAAAAAGGGCAAGAGAATCTTTGGCAGTTTATGCCATTATGTTCTCCTGGGGCGTAGGCATGGCAGGATGGGTCGACAAGGGGAGAGCAGTGGATGTTGTCTACCTTGACTTCAGCAAGGCTTTTGACATCGTCGTAGGTAAGCTCAGGACATGTGTGTTAGATAAATGGACAGTGAGGTGGATGAAGAACTAGCAAAGCTCAGAAGGTTGTGTTCAGCGAAACATAATCTGTTTGGAAGCCTGTAGTCAGTGGCATTTCCCAGGGATCAATACTGGATCCAGTCTTATTCAACTTGTTTATCAACAAGCTGGATGAAGGTATCAAATGCACCCTTCAGCAAGTTTGCTGATGATACAAAGCTGGGGGGAGTGGGTGATAAACCTGGAAGCTGTGCTGCCATTCAGCAGAACCTTGATAGGCTGGAGAGTTGGGCAGAGAGAAAACTAATGCGGTTCAACAAGGGCAAGTGTAGGGGCCTGCACCTGGAGAGGAATAACCCCAAGTACCAGTAGAGGCTGGGGGCTGAACTACTAGAGAGCAGCTCTGCAGAGAAGGACCTGGGAGTCTTAGTGGATGATAAGTTAAACATCAGCCAGCAGTGAGTTCTTGTGGCCAGGAGGGCCAATGGTATCCTGGGGTGTACTGGGAAGAGTGTGGCCAGCAGGTCGAGGGAGGTGATCCTGCCCCTCTACTTGGCCCTCCATACTTGAGGAGAATTGTGTTCAATTCTAGACTCCACAGTTCAAGAAAGACAAGGAGCTACTGAAGAGGGGCCATCAGTGGGGCCAGATCAGGGGTCTGGAACATTTCTCTTATAAGGAGAGACTGAGGGAGCTTGGCCTGTTTAGTCTGGAGAAGACTGAGAGGGAATCTCATCAATACATATAAATATCTCAAAGGTGGATATTAAAAAGATGGTGCCAGATTCTTTTCAGTGATGCCCAACTACAGGACAAGAAGCAACGGCCATAAACTAAAACACAAGTTCCCCCTCAACATGAGGAAGAACTTCACATTGAGCATGGCAGAGCATTGGAACAGACTCCCCAGGGAGGTCATGGAGTCTCCCTCTCTGGAGACATTAAAAACCCATCTGGAAATCTGCTTTTGAGGACTTAGAGATCCACAAGTGTTGGTCAGTCTTTAAGAACCACCCTTTAGAAGCACAAGAGCAGGCAATCACACTGTACCAAAAGTCAAGCAAGAAGGGCAGAAGAGCAGCTTGGCTGAACAGAGGACATTACTAACTAGCTCCCTAAAGCACTTTAGATTTCCTCTCTTGAAATCCAGGGTAGCAATTTTGATGACCTTTTTTCTCATTTACACCAAAAAATTTAAACTGAACCATTTCATGGTCACTGTGGCCAAAAGAGACATCTACCATCCCATCTCCCATGAGTCCTTCTCTATTCACAAACAAGTCAGGGGGGGCATCTTTCCTAGCTAGCTCACTGAATACTTGTGAGAAGAAATGATCTTCAGCATAATTCTGGAACTTCTCAGACTTGCTTGTCGCAGTTGTGTGAGAAGTTGAAATTTTCCATAAGGACAAGTGTTGGAGGTGCCCCAAGAAAGTCCTATGAGTGGTGGAAGAGACTTAATGAGGAGAGATCAGAGGAAGAGGAAGAAAACATCTCAGAGTGCACCTATGCCGTCATGCACAAGATATGATCATCATAATCACGAGAGTGCCTATTTCCAGTGTTTTACTTAGTTATACAATTGTTCCCTTGTTGGCATATGTTTTATTATGAGAATGTGTGATTCCCTTCTCTGTACCCCTGTTACCTCTTCTCCTATTGGTTCTATGTAAACCTTTTCCTTATTTGTCCAACCCTGCTGCATTGCAGTACTCCCCATAGATGGTTTTTCATTTGTCCATGTTTAGATAAGTTCCACCCCTGTTACTGTGATTGGCCACTCCTTGAATACTTCTCCCAGTCTCCACCCTTTGTTCTAGCAAGTTCCCTACTCTCCCTTTATAAGCTAGTGTCCATGTTCAATAAACGGCCATTTTGTGTCACATTGTGACTTGCATGCAGAGTGGTCCTTCTGGGTCTTGCTTAAGGGGGGCTACAGCTCTCCCCCTGTCAGACAAGGGCTACTGATCCAGAGATTTGTCCTCATTGTCTATAGATTAAATAGTCAGTGCTGGCGTCATGGATGACTGAACAACAGTAGACAACCACAATGATATCTGCTTTGTTTTCCATCCCCCTAATTCTCACCCAGAGGCTTTCAACCTTAACTGTAAGGATTGTACAGTCAAACTTGTCCCTCATACACAGTGCAACTCCTTTGCCTCATCTGACCTACCTACCTCTCCTTAACAGCCTATAGCTCTGTATCCCAGCACTCCAGTCGTGGGACACGTTCTACCAAGTCTCACTAATCCCAATGATATCACAGGTCTGGGAGCTGACTAATGCTTCCAGTTCATCCTGTTTACTTCTTATATCATGTGCGCTTCTAAACTCTCAGTGCTCCTTGCAGCTGTGTTAGCATTGCCACCCTCAGGCCATGCCATGCCATCCCTTGGCTTACATTTTTTACTACACATGAGTAGAAATTCAGTTAATTTAGATGTTTATATACTGCTCCACTACGCAAACTAAAACACGGCAAGTAGGCATCACCCAGTGGTACCCTTTAAAAAAGAGAAAAATTTCATCTGAATTAAAATGCTACTACACATGCAAACTAAGATAAGTAAAGGTGTAAGTTAGCTTGAAACAGTACATTAGAGATGGCACTATTAAAATGTGACATATTTGGCTTTGTTAGATGTTACTTAGAAGTATACACACAAATAGAAATGTCATCAGCTAAGATACTGACTCAGTGACAACTGCTTTCAGTGAGTCATTGTGCACATTCACCTTTAGATAGTCTTCTCAGTATACAGCTGCATATGCAGCAGGAAATTACCATTAATTATACATTATTTTGGAAACTAATCCTCCACACACCCAATCACTGAAGAAACGTCCAATCACTGTGGGAAGCCCATTGCCACCCCACAGCAGCCTTGTTGGATGAGAAACAACCCTCCCGCCCCTACCAAGAATCATAGAATCAAAGCATATTCTGAGCTGAAAGGGATCCACAAGGATCACTGTAGCGTCCACGTGGCGCTGTCCTTATATGATAAGGAATAATTACACGCTCTCCGGAGCTGGTGGAATCAAAGAGCCTTTATTTGAATTTCCCGCACTCTTTTATATCCCATAACCATGTGATCCCTCTACCCAATGGGGGCTGTGAACCTCGGCGCATGCTCCTTGGGCCTCTCTGCCCTGGTACATCCCTCTGTACCTCAGACACGCCCCTACATCACCCCCCCTCTAAATTATTTAAGAGGATCACAAAAACAGTGCAAAACAACAGTGCAAACAAACATAACAGTACTTGTAAACTACCAAAGCTTGCAGTGACCCAGCACACTGCTTGCCTTGGCCTCTTATGCTTCTAATGTAAACCTTTTCAAAACCTTCTTATATTCCTAAGGGGTAGTGCAACTTGGAGAAATAACTTTATTAACTTAAAGGCCTTGGCCTAACTGTGCAAACTTATAACTTTTATTAACTTGAGGGTTTTAAGTAACTGGGCATTCAACTTTATTAAGGAACGGGCTAAGCTTAGCAAAACTACCTTATCTTAAAGTGACCTTGTGGCTGAGGTAGTGTTTATTGTGAGGTGTCTTGTGTTTCAATATTTGTCCAGTCATACAGCACACATTCATTCACACATCATTCGCTCGACGGCCGTCTTTTCACTCATCATACACACACTCATGAATTTTTTATTGACTGCTTTTTGCCACATTGGTTGTTCCTAAGGGTAAACCTGAAATGTAAACATAACTCCTTCATAACTTCTGCGTTACTATGGTTCTTGCTGATGTGAACGTGTACCTAGGTAGGGCCTGACACACCTGGAAGGAATCCATTTTAACTCTTTCCCTGCACTCACACAGGCATAACCCCTCCCCCACGTCACAAGATCTAGTGGTCCCGTCCACTGTCCAGAAATCAGATCCTTTACCATGACCGGTGGTTTGGGAGAGGCAGGCTCATGAGGCCTGTGTTGCCTTTCATACTTACTCTTTTCCGTGCTGTCACAATTTAAAAAATTGATAACATACATTGCTTTCCACAGCCGTTCTTGTGGGCTATCCAGGTTCTCCCTCTTTTTTTGTTTTTCAAACATTTCTTTCAGTGTGCGGTGTGCCCTTTCAACAATTGCCTGACCGGTTGGTGAGTGTGGGATGCCTGTGACATGTGAGATTCCCCAGTCTGACAGGAAATCTCTTACCTTTTCTGAGATGTATGCTGGTCCATTGTCAGTTTTTATTTGTTTTGGGGTACCAAGGGTGGCAAAACAACTGAGCCAGTGTCTTATCACATCCTTGGCCTTTTCCCCTGTGTGTGCTGTGGCTGTTATATACTGCGAATGTGTGTCTACTGTTACATGTACATATTTCAGTCTGCCAAATTCTGGGATGTGTGTAACGTCTGTTTGCCAGATCTCATTAGCTTTTAACCCTCTAGGGTTAACGCCTTCCTGAGACGGCATGGGTGTGATTTTTTGACAGTCTGGGCATGACAGGATGATGTCTCGAGCCTGATTGGTTGTTATTTGGAATTGTCTTTTTAGAGAGTGAGCATTCTGATGGAAAAATGAGTGAGACAATTTTGCTTGCTCTAAGACTCTGGGTACGGTGTTAAACATTGCTGCTCTGTCAGCTTCCCTGTTCCCGTCAGCTATGGGTCCTGGCATGTCGGTGTGTGACCTTATGTGCATAATATAGAAATCAAACCTCCTGTGATTAACAAGAAACCAAATAGAACGCATTTCAAACAACAAATGGGGGTTAGAAACCTCTCGAAGAAACGAACTTTCAAGGCGCGATACTAAACCTGCAGCATAACAAGAATCAGTAACAACATTAACAGGTTGCTCAGAAAATTTCTCCAGGGCAAGACGGATGGCAGCCAGTTCCAGAACCTGTACAGAACCTTGGTTCCTGGTCTGCACCTCCTGTTCCCATTGTCCGGTATCGGGGTTTACCCAAGTCACTGCAGCTTTTCGTGTTCTCCCAGATGCATCTGTGAAGACCGTAAGGCCTTCTACTGGTTCATGTTTGCATCTGGTTGTGGCTTTTAAAGGTAAATTACCTATTTCTGCCCACAATCTGTGTTTAGGGAGATGAATGGAAATATCACCGTCAAAGCCTGACAAGGCAGCTTGGAATCCCATGTCCTCAGCCAGCATCCAATCCAAATTGTCCTTCGTAGCTGGAATGTAGATGGTAACAGGGTCCCTTCCGTCCAGTTCCTGCAGTCTTGCTCTGCCTTTAATGACAAGCTTTGCAAACATCTCATTAGCAGTCCACACAGTTTTAGGTGGTGTATGGGGCAGAAACAGCCACTCTAGAATTCGCAGTGGGTCTTTTTCAGTCTGATCCCACTGGAACAAAACTGCAAATGGCTGGTACCTGCTGGGAACAAGGGCCAGGCAGGTTTGGAGTTCAGGATTTCTCCTTCTGCCTTGCCTGCTTTCTATTGCCCTGGCACAAATGTCTAACGCCTGTCTGGCCTCTTCAGTCAGAGCTCTGTTAGACGTTAGATTGGAGTCCCCTTTTAGCAGCTCAAACAAAGGGTGTAGCTCCTCTGTGGTTAAGCCTAAAACAGGCCTCAACCAGTTGATAGCCCCCAAGAGTTTTTGCAACTCGTGTAAAGTTAAAATGTTTTTTACCTCGAGCTGCAGTGGCTGTGGGGAGATTTCCTGCTGTGTGATCCTCCATCCAAGGTATGTCCAGGGCTGCGATCGCTGGATCTTTTCTTGCGCGACCTGTAACCCTGCTTCTTGGATAGCATCTTTTAGAGCAGTAACAACAGTTTCTAGTTCATTTTCTGTGGCCGTGGTAATTAAAATATCATCTATGTAGTGATAGATGATGGCAGAGGGGAAACGCTTTCTGATGGGATGAATAGCGTTTGCCACTACTGTCCGACATATCGTAGGACTATTCCTCATGCCCTGAGGGAGAACAACCCAATGGTACCTTTGCATAGGTTGTGCATTGTTCAAGGCCGGGATGGAAAAAGCAAACCTTGGCGCATCCTCAGGGTGAAGGAAGATGGTAAAAAAGCAGTCCTTTAAATCAATTACCATTAGAGGCCAGTCCGCTGGGAGCATAGAGGGTGAAGGCAGTCCTGGCTGCAAAGCTCCCATGGGCTCTATGACTGTGTTTACTGCCCTTAAGTCCTGCAGCATTCTCCATTTCCCACTTTTCTTGGGAATGCAAAAGACAGGAGTGTTCCAGGGGCTAGTTGTGGGCACAATATGTCCTGCTTCTAGTTGCTCCTGTGCAAGCTTTGTTAATTGCTCCAGCCGTTCCTTTTTCATAGGCCATTGGTCCACCCAGACTGGCTGCTCGCTTTTCCAGACCAGCTTAATGGGTGTTTGGGACGGCTGACCAATGGCCCCTATTGAAAAACCTGGCTGCTTGCGGGAGGAATTTGCATCACTGTGCCAAACTGCCCAAGAACATCCCTTCCCCACAGTGTACAAGGAATGGGGGCAACAAAAGGAGCTATCTTGGCCGATCGTCCTTCCGGGCCCAGGACAGTGAGTACTTGGGCACTCTGTCTGGGCCTTTGTGTTCCTCCCACCCCCTGAATGGTTGCAGCTGGGCAAACAGTGGGCCACTTAAGTGGCCACTCGGAGTCCTTTATGATGGAAACATCGGCTCCTGAATCCACAAGGCCTGTGAATCGATGCCCATTCACCTGGCATGTCATGAGCGGCTGTGTGGATGTAATGGCTGTTGCCCAGTAAACTTGTGGTGTTCCTGTGCTACCGAAAGCCCCTGAACCCCGCTCCCCCTCCCCTGCAGGCGACGCGCTGTAGAAGGGGATTAGTTGGGCAATTTTCTGTCCCTTTGGGATGAACCAGGGGGGTGAAGGGGTCCAGGCCATGATTTGAATCTCACTATGAGAGTCTGAGTCTATCACTCC